TTTTATTAAAAAACCATTTTCTTCTCGAATGAATTGATCGTTGATTTTTCCAAATCTCTGGTATCCATTCATTAACTATCTTATATCCAATAACAATACCGCAGTGTATACAAACATTCATTTTATTGTTATCTGAAATAATTTCTTGATTTTCACAACATAAGTATGTCTTAACAGAACTATTAATATAATTATCACATATCTTTTTATCACAAAAGCAACAATTTACGTAACCAAAAAACTCTTCTAACTCTTTATAATCAATTTATTACAATACATATAATATAATATAATATTATATCTTTAAGTAGTTTTATATAATAAATATCCAGATATAATACCAAGCCCTACCATTGTAATAGATTGATATTTTTTCATATTCTTAGATTCTTTGTAAAAGTCATTTAATTGTGGTTCTCTATGAAATGTTAACCCGTTGTAATGTATCGTTTTTACTTTTCTAAGCGCATCTAAAGCTTTGTTTGTAAGTTCTATATCATTATCAGCATATTGAAGTTCTTGTCTTAGCTGTTGAATTTTATTTCTTTGCTTGACTTCATTTTCATAGAACGCCTCTTTAGCCTTAGATAAGTCCTCTAGAGCCTTGTTGTGGCGTTTCATTTACTCAGCGTAACCGTTTTTATCAAGTTTATGAAATAGCCAGCCTGCTAGGGAAAAACCTAACCCATTGACAACAGCTCCAAAAGCTGTTCCAAATACACTAGTAATAACACTTGTCATATATATTTATACAGATTTAACTGGATTTTCAGGAATCCATTTTTTGTCTTGAGCATATTTAACTAGCATTGTTGATGCTGTAACAGCAACAACCAGTTTAGCAAAATCTTTGATACTGTTTGTGTCTGTTAATTTTTGACCTAGTAGTTTTTTAGACGCCATAGAAAGACCTACAGCAGTTGTTGTCACAAGCACTGCATCAAAAGCTTCATTCATAAATTGTTTCTTAGTATTACTCATATATAATAGGAAATATTTTATTCAAATGAGTCTAAATTATATTGTTTATTTTTTTGTATCAAAACATGTTTTTCACTAGTTGTTTCTTCTCTAGCTTTATCGTTTGTTAATTTTTCCTGCCTTTTATCATTTTTCCTTGTATAATAGAGACTAGCAATAGCAGTTAATACTCCAATAGTTCCAAATAAATATCCGTAATTAATGTTCCAGCTATCATCCTCAATTTTCTTTTTATTTTCTAATTCAATCCTATCTCGCATCTTTTTTTCTTTAGCAGCTTTCGATATAGCAGCCAAGCGTTTCCCAGCTTCAACTCTAAGAGGGTCTTTCTCTTTCTTAACTGTAGTTATCTTTACGTTTTCTTCAGACATGTTATATAATACTGTAGATTTTGTTCACAGATAACTCACAGATAATCTTATAGATAACTTACAGATAACTCACAGATCTTTATATTTTTTGTTATATTTACTCACCATACTATCTATAGGAGGACAATTGTCTATTATAATATCATCAATAACTTTTATGTCTGATATAAATATCACTTCATCATAAGGTAATCCTCTTAAATATGATCTTATATCCATAAGTATTTTTTCATATGATGTATATGCAAATTTACACATTTCTAAGTTATTATTAATCTTACTCTTAACCATATAACCTTGAACTAAAGCACCTAGACCACTCAAGGTGGCTATAACTATCGGGTTTACGGTTACACTACCTACAATACCAGCAGTCGAGACTAGAAAAATACTTCCCATGTTTAATGATAGTTTAATTTTCTTTAATTTACTATACTTCCATTTAAAACAAGTATATAACTGGTGATAGTACAAATACAACTTTTTCAGCTTTTCAAATTCCTCTTGACTCAACTTACCCGAAATATGATTAAAATTTATAATTTTTTTCATATTATATTATAAAGCATATTTAACTAATATGAATGATGATAACGTTGATATACCGAGTAAAGTAATCATATCTGTTTGATGGGGATTATTTACTACCATTTTTGTATGTTTATGTACTACTGGTTTTTTATACACTTCATCTAGAGTATCTAGGTGTTGTGAGGGTGCATTATCTTGATGTACTTTTTTTAGTTCTTCCTTTTTAACTCCATAATAATTTATTTTAGAATTAATACCGAATTTCATAGTTTTATTCGCTAATGTTAAAATATTATTATACCCATCAATCTTTTTATCTAATATGATCATACGGCTGGGTATTAAAATCATACCAGGACTGATTGCCATATTTAAAATAACGTTCGTGTCTTTTATACTCTTTCTCATGTTAGATATCAATACAGTCGTATCATTCTGTACTATAGTATCCTCTACTAATTTCCTAAAAACGTTTTGAGTTTGCATGCTCCTAGCTCCCTGATTAACTATTGACCATCTTGTATTCGCCTGGGCACCAAGAATTGTATAAACAAAACTTTCAATGCTCTCTTGAAAAAGAACTTTTCCTATTTTTGTAATCCCTTCAGAATTATATGCAATGAAGCTCTTATAATCAGTAGTTGAATATTGAAAATTAACATAATACCCATCACCGTCTTGATTGAATTTTAAAATACCTTTATAAGGTATATGCTTTTTCAATTCCGTAAAGTCATATTTGTCTAATAACGATGGATGCTTCATAAATTTTCGGATCTGATAATACAAATGGTATTTCACTAGGCTTTGTATAATTCTACTTTTATTAAAATTTAAATGATTAAGCGCAATACCACATAAAAAACTGGCAACATATGCCCCACAAATCATAGCATAGTACGCTTCTTTTTTATAATTTAAATGACTTTTAATATTGTACCTTATACCAGTCGGCTGTTCTTTTTTACTTTTAATTTCATTTGTCCATGTAGCTGTTATAGGCGGTAAACTACTCATAAAATAATCATTCTCTGTCACATACAATCGGAAGTTACAGATATCAACTATAAGCTTCAACAATTCCAGGCTTATGTGACCAGCAAGATACTCGTACATAAACTACTATTAAAACGACGACCGGTATACAGATAAATCTTTATTTCAATGCAATGCGTCAAACGTACGGTTCTAAACGACAGAGTATAGATATTAACATAACCGACAAGGAGGCCTAAAGCCGTAATCATCGTTACCTCGTAATTTGGCCACTAAATATAAACATCCATGTACAAAAATACACCACTATACATGAATTGTGCTCAATCTCAAAAGACCCCAAGAACCATGCTTTTATACGGGTCCCTTTTGTTTTCATAATAATTAGCATAATAATTAGCATAACCTAAGCTCTATGCATCTCGATCCTACATACCAGCCCCGAACGACCTACTATACGTCGTTCAATAATTCAAAAAGGATCGAGAGCTACAATACAAATGTTTTCAATGTTAACTTGCGCAAGTTTTAAACAATGTGTCCACCAATCTTGTCGAATAACCAAACATAAACCAATAGATACCGTCGTTTAACGTAAACAAAATAATAATAACAGTTAAGTGACAACAACAATAACGTTCGTTTTCTGAAGAATTTCTCGCTTTACTTCGCAGTCTCCAATAGGCACAACTTCCTGACATCTCGACGATAACGACTTTGATTCGCCGTGCGGATCTCTACTTGCCGAACATGTCCGTTGCTATCGGGAAATGTTTCTTCAACTATCGCTAGAGGCCATTCACCTCTGGGAGTATCTTCCATCACCATCAAAACGACATCACCTTTGATTAAGTTTCGTTTTGGGTGTAGCCATTTCTGTCGTTCTTGCAAACTTGGCAGGTATTCTTTTAACCACCTTGCCCAAAATTGGTCAGCTAACTTCTGCGCTCGTTTCCATATTTCTCGGGGGTTATTTGCCGTAGGTGAAGAACTTGCACTTGTGCTTATGTTTCGATAACGCAGGAGTAGAGTGTTTGGTGTAAGAGTTGATAAATCTCGAGGGTCATCACACTGCCGTACAAGAGGCCGATCATTCACTATTTTCTCGACTTCGCACATTACTGTAAGGAGTGTTTCATCATCAACAACTCGGTCTCCTATTATAACACGCATTTGCTTCCTGATTGTTCTGATCATGCGCTCCCAAACTCCCCCGCTATGGCTTGCTTTCGGAGCAGAGAAATGCCATTGAATTCCCTTTTCTCTTAGACGATCTAATATTCTAGCTTGATTCCAATTTTGCAACATTTGCTTAACTTCAGATTCCGCTCCTCTAAAATTCGTCCCGTTGTCACTGAACAACTCATTCGGCGGTCCGCGTCGACTGACGAACCTACATACGGCTTGAATGAAGGAATCTGTCGATAGGTCATGTGCAATCTCATGTGTATGGCCCTTATGGCTAAGCAAGTGAATACACAGCCATATCGTTTTTCAGTTCCTCTTTATATTTGACTTTAAGAGGTCCAAAATAATCGACTCCACAGATGAAAACGGGTACTCACCAGATTTCACACGAGCTTTGGCAGTGGGGCCATTATCTGCTTCCCTGGAGACTGGTTTCGGCGACGACACGGAACACAATTATTGACTATACTCTTCACAGTGCTAGGTCCCTTTATTATCCAGAAGCGTTGCCGTATTGCTGCTAGAGTTTGACTGGTTCCAGCGTGACCTTCCTTTGCATGGTAATACCGGACAATGAGCTTTGTAACGTGATGACTGGAATCAAGAATTGCGGGATGTTTAGATTCTTCCGGCAGCGATGATTTATCCAAACGTCCACCAACTCTCACAATTCCTCCGGCGATGACTGGACATAGTTTAGCGTATCTCTCTCTCATAGTTTTCTCGTTGATAGATGAACTTCGTTGGGTAAGTTTAATTATTTCCTGGGTTGCCGATTCAATCTCTTTTACCTTTAGAGGACCACGTTGTACTTCTAATCCTGGACCGTTTGGATAACGGCTTAAGATGTACTGTTTGAATCTTAGCAGCCATGCAACCGACTTCTGCAATCTGTACCATTCGGATGTTCGATGGATAAGTTGTATTAGCGAATCAGGGTGCATCCTTTGAGTTGATGACGGCACCAACTCTTGCTTTAGGTTTCTTTACTTCCACATCTGTGTCTTCTACGTCTGGTATGTCATCTAGCTGCGTTGGCCATAATTTGGGATCTTTCCAAAGGAAATCGGGTCCGTTCAACCAAAACTGCAAGTCCCGTTGGTCTTGGCCTGTTGCGCGACCAAGACTTATACCTCTTGATGCAAGGTCGGCTGGGTTGAGCTTGGTTGGCACATGTCTCCATTGATTCGGAGTAGAAGCATCGTGAATAACTTGTAATCGATTCGCTACAAAGGTTTGAAACCTTTTGTTCTCGCTCTTAATGTAACGCAGCACTATCATTGAATCGCTCCAGAAAACAATTTGACTTATTGACAGATCCAACTCATCACAAATTTGTTTATTCAGCTTCACGGCCAATGTTGCAGCGGTTAGTTCCAATCTGGGTACCGTGACTGTTTTAAGAGGTGCAACTCTTGATTTGCCCATAACTAAGGTACAATGAATCCTTCCTTGGGTATCTTCCAGCCGAAGGTACGTTGCTACCCATATCCTTCAGTCGATGCGTCAGCAAAATAGTGGAGTTCCGCATTCCTTGTCTTGTTAAATTCGTGCGGTTTATAGCATCGAGGTATTTCTAATTTCACAAGGGAATGGAATTCGCTTTGCCAGTCATGCCATATTTCGCTTGTCTCGATTGGGAGATCTTCGTCCCAGCCGTGATTTACTCGACACAGGTTTTGCATTATGCGTTTGGCTGGTAAAACGACAGGAGCGACTAGACCAAGGGATCGTAGACCGAAGCTATGAACGATAGAATCCCTCTTCTTGACTCTGCTTTCAATTTGCTTCCCGGAATCCCAACGTGTCCCTTTCCGTATTCCACTGAACGCCCAATGCTTTCTCCATCGGCAACTTCTCCAACTGAAGGCTGACGCATGGCGCTCTTTCTTTGTTAGGTACGTGAGATAAGACTTCTCGATCATTTGACACCCACTTTGTGAGATGGAATCCACCGCGAGACAGCAAAACTGGTAGTTCGTCTACCAACTTCATTGCTTCTTTCCTTTCTGGTAAAGACTTGAGACAGTCATCTACATAAAAGTTACGATCAACTGTGTCGACAACTTGTTTGCTGAATTCTTCCCGATTATCTGAAGCTGTTCTTTTAACGCGTAAGAACAACAACTTGGGGAAGAGGTTGCTCCGAATAAATGAACAGTCATTTGATGCTCTACTGGTTCTTTGGATAGATCTCCCTCTGGCCACCATAGAAATCTCAGTGCATTACAGTCTTCTGGCTTAACCTTCACCTGATGGAACATCTTCTCAATATCTGCCATTACCGCTATCTTTTCCTGCCTGAACCGCAACAATACACCAACTAATGAATTGGTATAATCTGGTCCTTGAAGAAGCTGATTATTTAGGGATGCGTTGTGGAACTTCGCAGCACAGTCAAAAACGATTCTTGTCTTTTCTGGTTTTTGCGGGTGTGTCACAGGGTGATGAGGCAGATACCAAACCAGTTTTTTGAGTGACTCGTCCTGTGTATTTTGTTTATCCACTTGAACTACTTTAGCGTGCCCTTTTGAGATGTATTCCTTCATCGTTGCCTTATAATTTGCGTGAAGTATGGGGTCCCTCTCAAGTCGTTTCTTCAAATAAGCAAGTCTCCTTTCAGCCATAGACTTATTGTACGGGAGGAGTGGGTCATCGTATTTCCAAGGAAGACCAATTTCATATTGATGATTTTCTAGCTTGACAGTTCTATCCATTATTGCCTTTGCGCGACGATCCTCGACCGACAGACATTCTTTAACGTCAGCAGCCGACTCGCTAAACTCTGAATTGTAGAGATTTTGCAATTGCTGACGAATGGAACTCATACCATCTTCCCTTTCCATACACCCAAGAGCTTGATCAACATGAATGAAGTTCATCTGAGCTTCTTGATAAGGTTTTCCTTCAGAGGTCCCATCACCGTCCAACCGAGGATTGTCCGTATTGCGTAGGGTTGATTTCTTTTCCCAGAACGCACTTCAAGGGGGCAAAGAGCTTCGGGAACGTCACTTCCAATAAGGATAGTGACTTTCTTATCCACTAAATCGGTTAGATTAACGCCTTTAAGGTGAGACCACCCTTTACATCAGTGTTCGTGGGAATACTTTCTAGAGCAACAGGAAGAGTGTTGGTCGTCCAAACTTTATCTAGTCTGACACCTTTGCCCGTGGATACTCCAACCACATCGAGAGATAACTGTTGACCCTTACTTTTGTGGCTGCCTGAAACAGTCGCTAACGTGAATTCGATGGGTGAGCAATCGGCTCCAAGATCTTCAGCTAAACTGGTTAAGCACATGGTTGTGTTGGAGCCACTGTCTAAGAACGCATAAGTTTCTATCACACGACTACCATAGGGTGCGCTGACCTTAACTGGAATAACTTGCAAACCTATACGACAACTGCTATATGATGAATTTGTCGCGCCAACTCCAGACGTTGGGAGTGCTTTGGATTGGCTGTCGCTTTCAGATGGTTCAGGATTTGGATTACTCCTTTCACTTGATTTAGAATCCTTAGCCTTTATTTCGGATGAGTGTAACAAAGGATGGTGCCTTCTCTGACAACCTTCAACACCGCATATGCGGGCACCTCTGCAGTCTTTCACGAAATGTCCTGGGCTCAAGCAAGCATGACAAACTTTGTGCGTCTTTACTAGGTCTTGTCGTTGCTGAAGATTTTGAGCCCTGAACTTGTGACAGCGTTCAAGATGGTGTGTGCCTTTGCATAGTACGCAGGATAAATTTCTTCCCTTTGATTCACTACTGTCAAATATTCTCTGGCTGTGAGTTGCTAAGTTTGTGCTATTCCCACTAAACAAGAAGGATTTCTTCTTCAATCTGTCAGTTCCATCCTTTCGGGTTTCATTTTTCGAGGTAATCATTTGACCAAAGTACGTACTAGCCACGGCTGCGCGGGATTGTATGAATTCAGTTAAATGAGAGAAATCTGGTGTGATGTGATTGTCGTACATATGGCTTGCTTTATCAGCCCATTTTGACTTGAGATGCATTGGAAGGCGGCTAACTACCCTTCCCAGAGTGTCCATCGAATTGATACTTGCCCGATTTCCTAACTGAATAGAACCAAGGAGACACGTTTCCATATCTCTTGCTAGCTGCGACAATTTCTCGGCTTCGTTTACTCTAATTGGCGGTCCATTCAAGACTTTCTCAAGGAATGCTTGGGTTACGATGTGATTTCGACCAAAGTTTTTTCTCAGGATTTCCTTAGCACGCTTGTATCCTTGATCCGGAGGCATAATGATGCAATGCTCTATCGCTTGTCTTGCTGTTCCTTTACAATACTGAATAAGGTAATTCAGTCGATCTGCATCATTACTTTCTTTACTCTCGACATTCACTTCAAAATTCTTCATGAACAACGGAAAGTTGCGAGGTTCGCCATCAAAACTCATGTATTCCCTTTGAGGCATTCTTAATCCCTTCACTACTTCGTCCATCGTAATCTGCTGCTTCTCTAATAGATATTGTAACTGCGACGAATTGTCTCGTTGCAAGCTTTGCTGAGTTTGACATCCAGTTCCACTGGTTATTATACTTTCTTGGGGTACACAATTTCCGGTAGGAGGTATCGCCAAGCGCTGACTTAAACTGCTTCTGTCGATTGGGGTTGAAGGTTGCTGGACTGGGTTTTTATCTGGTTCACGAGCGTTACTACTACTTTCCCTGTCCGACAGTTGATGTTCAATATCATTACCAAAAACTTCTTCTTCAAGCTTCCGAAGCTCATCTCGACGTCGTTGTATTTCCCGTTTCTTCATAGCCATCTCATGCTCAATTCTCGCCTGATGCATTTCTTTCTCTAGTTTAAGCCTTGCCTCCCTCATCTGCTTGTTCAGCTCTTCTCTTCTATTAATTTCCAATTCTTCAAGTTCACGAAACCGTTCTGCCCATTTTGAATCAAGCGCGCTCGTTACTCCAGCCCCGTTGTCTTCAAAATTTGTTGTTTGCGTCGGCTTTTCCCACGCACGAGCAGTCCGCGTGACGTTCACGTGAGAAGCTGCTTGTTTACCGATATTAGAATTGACTGGAATACAGGAGCAAGAGGCGATAAAACCGAATTATCCTTCAAAATGAAGCGACCTGACTTAGACCAAGTTCAAGCTCCTGTTCCTGTTCGTCTGCTACTCGCTCCGGCGAACCCAAACTCGTCGAAGCCTCGTCAGAAACGACAACTTGCTTGTTTTGTACGACGACGTTCGGTCCGCTTTCAGCTCGCTCGCTACCGTCATCTTCAGCGGATTCAATCATGTCTTGATTCGTATTGTTAAGCGAATTCTCTCCAGATTTAGCTCGACTCACTTGACCTGGAGGACTTAACTGTTCGCCAGACGGCTGAAGTACGCGTTTTGATAAGCCTTTAATTTTCGACTTTTACCTTGACCCTTTCGTTTCTGAGTCATTGCTGATCGATTAAACAACAATTACGAGAACTATATAAGCTTCAACAATTCCAGGCTTATGTGACCAGCAAGATACTCGTACATAAACTACTATTAAAACGACGACCGGTATACAGATAAATCTTTATTTCAATGCAATGCGTCAAACGTACGGTTCTAAACGACAGAGTATAGATATTAACATAACCGACAAGGAGGCCTAAAGCCGTAATCATCGTTACCTCGTAATTTGGCCACTAAATATAAACATCCATGTACAAAAAATACACCACTATACATGAATTGTGCTCAATCTCAAAAGACCCCAAGAACCATGCTTTTATACGGGTCCCTTTTTGTTTTTCATAATAATTAGCATAACCTAAGCTCTATGCATCTCGATCCTACATCAACATTTACCGGCCTTTGAAATGTAGGTTTTACAATAAACTTTGAGGTCCACCTATGTAACATATGATCGAAATAATCCTCAGTATGACCTTCATCCCCATTAGCAGCTGCTATGAGATTTGAAAACAAAGGTGTTTTAGTTGTTTCTAAATATATTTTTGGCCATGTTGTATATGATACATGTTTTAAATCATCATCGCCTAATTTTATAGCATTTTCTTCTATTTGCTTGTTTGACATATAATATAAGCTATGTTATATATGAGAAAGTTCACTGTTTTTATAGACGGAGATAGTAAAAAAATTGACTTACAAGAAAGTATAGTAACATCTAACTATTCATATTTATATATCAAGAAAGCTTATGTGTATTGGGAATATAAAAATGTTAAATTAAATAATACTTTAGCTTTTACAATAGGCACTATAAAATATAATATAGATGCTGGTTACTGGACTTTTAAAATGCTTAAAACGTTTCTTGAGTCTTTTAACGTAAAGCTTGAAATGGTAGAAAACAACGGAACTTGTAAAATAACTAATAATAATGACGAGGTATTAGTATTGTCTGATACTCTTATTAAAATGTTAGGTTTTAATGATACCATAAA